CCTCCCACCTCCACATTACTGGTAGGCAGCAGCCAGCTTAGCAGACTGCCTTCACATGATTCTTCTCTTTGACATTGAAATGTCTAGTTCACTAGAGTATACTGATGAGGTGAAAAAATTAATCCTCTATACAGTGCAGTGAACAAGGAAAACATTGTGCTATGTACAATTGAAGACCTGGCAGAATAAAATGCAATGTTATGGCAGAATATTACACAAGTGACAATAAACTTCCCAAGTAAAATTATCATTCTACATGTCAGTTGGAAATACAAAAGGTTGAAATATAAGAACGACGTCTGTAGTAACAATGAGGATAAACTCGGTAGACACAGGTGAAAAAAGTGTCAAAACCAGAAAAGTGCCACAAATTTGCAGGATTCTCCTCATGGTACTTGATTTGATGGATACTTCCTGAAGAATTATTTTCTTATTTTGAAAGCACTGAGAGATGCAACTATCAGACGTTGGGCTTTTTATTAACCAAGCTAATGAAAAGAGAGTTGTAATCAAGTTAAAGTGAGAGCTAATGACCCTGTTAGTGAATTTGTTGTTTGCCACCGTCTGGAGATAACACACACCAGGACAGGCTGAGAGAGTTGGGGCTGTTCAGCCTGGAAAAGAGGAGACTCTGGGGACACCTTATTGCAGCCTTCCAGTACCTAAAGGAGGCCTACAGGAGAGCTGGGGAAGGACTTTTTACTAGGGCATGTGGTGATAGGATGAGGGGGAATGGCTTCAAACTGGAAGACGTCAGGTTTAGCTTAGATATTAGAAAGAAATTTTTCACTGGAACAGGTTGCCCAGAGAAGCTGTGGCTGCCCCATCCCTGGAGGTGTTCAAGGCCAGGTTGGATGGGGCTTTGAGCAACCTGGTCTAGTGGGAGGTGTCCCTGCCCATGGCAGGGGAGTTGGAACTCAATGATCTTCAAGGTCCCTTCCAATCTAAACTATTCTATGATTCTATGACATATCAGCCAAAAACTTGCAGAAAGCACAATAAGAGTTTACCTTGCAAGGGCTCCTGGCTCGAGGCTTTAGCACATTTCTTCATGAAATAAGTTTGATTTAGATGAGTGATCTAAGAAATAAAAGTTCAATGAGAAGAATGAATATTGGGTGGAAGCAAAGGTGTGAGATGGGACAAAAATGTAAAGAGAACTGGGGTAAGCCCTGCAGAATTATATAGAAACATGTAGCAAAAATAACTAATAATCTCTGAGAATGCTGCTGAAAAGAATTTGAATACAAAAAGGGAAGATGAAATGTAGAGATACATACAGTAAGGTTACAAAAACATGTAATTTTCCTATGGTAAATTTACCACTGAACATCCTGGTCTAACAATAGTACTGTGGTTCATGGTAAATTTACCACAGGAAGACTACATTTTTGGTGACCTCAACTCAAAGCTATCAATCTAAGAATAAGGGCAGTGTAAGCGTTTTAGGAGAATTTTGTGTGCAACTTAAAAAAGCCAAGATGAATATAAAGATAAGAAGGCATTCCGAAAAAGAGAGAGCTGGAAAACCACAGAGCAGTTGGCCAGAGATCTCTTTCAGCAGAAGGTTCAAAATATCAGGAAATACATTTTGATTATTTAGAAAATGTAATTAACAATTTCATTGATTTGTTAAAACAAGACAAAACTTTCATAGCCATCTTCAAAGCAACTACTGCTTCCTCAGATAAGAAGCTATTGGATATAGCATGTTTGAATGTCAATTGATCCGTTTAATACCATGTAGTAAAACACAGAAATACTGGAAAAGTGCCAACAAGATAAAGTTCATCACATGGCACAGAAAGCTTGTTAAGCAGGCAATGAATAGTGGGATTATAAAAAGTCCAATTCTTTATCCCTTTCTGGTTTGAGCAGTACATGCAATTTTAATCTCTGAATGACATCAATAGCACAATTTGTATAAGCACAGCCTGCTATAATGGACCCAGAATTCAGTCCAAAGATAGGATGTCTCAGTGGGGAAGAATAAGGAATAATGCAATCAAAATCAACCCAAGGACTTATATTACACATCATATATTCTCTATCAGCCACATTCAGGACAGTTCAAATAATCTTTGGAGGTAAATATCTCACACAGTCCAGCCAGAAGAATGTTTTTGTTTGTTCCATAATGAGGTCACGAAATATAGAACACGTATAGAGCCCACTGCTAGAACCAAATTAGAGGGACACCAAGCACTTCATGTGTCAGGATGAAATTCAAAATTACTTTGATAAATTGTATGAATGAACTGAAATTGATAAAATAGCACTGTCTAAAGAACTGTGGAAAATTAAAGCTGTTTGCATAAAATGAAGAGCAGTAGACTACTAGACTAGTGGATTACAAAGTGAGTAGGAGTTTAAATTATGGTGTTGATACAAAACAAACAAACATAATTCTGGGACCTATTAACAGAAGTGTGATACATGTGGGCTACAGGAAGTAGCAATGTCATTTTCAATGTCAGGAGAGAAGCCTCAGCTGGATAATTATGTTGTTTGGTGTGACATGGTTGAAGAAAGCTGTAGACAAACTGGAAAGAGGCCAAAAGCAAGCACCAAGTATGATAAGTGGGTTGAAAAACTTGACCCATGAAGAGAGGTTGAAATGGTTTGTTTAGTCTAGAAAATGGAAGATCAGTGGGAGACAGAACAGTCTGTAAATGTATAAAATGCCAGTAAGAACGGTGGGAAATTTCTTATGAAAATGCTAAGAGTTGTGCAAGAACATTGAGGGACTGAACCTGTAGGTGCAGGATGTGAAATTCGGGCTCAGCAAGACAATATAAAATTAGCGGAATAGTAGTGTCACTGGAACACGAATACAGAAATAGTAAGATACTGCATGTTAATAATGTTTTGTATCAAAACTGACTTGGAGAAGGACCTTGGATAGAGGTTTATGGTGGTATCACTAGAAGTATATAATAGACTTCTAGATTTAGTTAGCCCTGAATGGCACTAGAGATTTCTCTGATGCTAGTGACCAAAAAATGTAACTGAGAGTTATGCTGGTATGGAGGACGTTGACATTTGGCATGGAGACCAGAGAATAAAAACAACAATTATTTGTAGGATCTCGGTATTCCTGAATATGAAGATCAACGCTCTTTTTTTCCATTTTCATTCTCATTTTCATTTTTTCATTTCATTTCATTTTTCATTTCATTTCAGACAACTATAAATTAATATCAATCTTAACATGGTTAATGAGGGTGTTATAAAATACCTGGTCATAGAAATTAAGTTTGGATGGCATGATTCTGAATTAACCACGTGAGTAAACAAAGTACATACAAAACAAAACTCCTGATTTCAGAGGGACACCATTCTATGATTCTATGATCTTTAGAAGATATATTTAGAACAAGCAGACACCTTACAAAATAACAGGCAAAAGTATGGAGAAGCAAAGTAAGTTGTATCTTAAAATCAAGAAGTGAAGAGTGTTGAATAGAGGCTGGAAGGAAGTTACTTTCAGGGATAAAGCTTGAAATCAACCTTGCTTAATACTTTCATGATAACTTGGCACAAAATACAGGGGCTTTCTGATGAAATCTGCCAGTGACAAAAAACTGGAAGACATTAACAGAAAAGAATGGGGAAGCTGGGTTGTCTTCAAGTCTAGAGTAATACAAATGGGACAAAATTGAGTAGGATAAAATGTTCAAGCCATGCACTTGGGCGCTAATAACAGAAGGACCTCCAAGAAACTAGAAACTCTATTTTTGGAAACAACTATGGAAGAGAAGTACAGAGTTATGAAGGGTTATTCCAAACTGACTAGGAACTTCTAATGGGACACAGCTGTGAATAAGGCAAATGCTGCTCTGTGACATACCAAAAGAGGTATTTCTTACACAAATAGGAAAGAACTAGTGTCATTGTACAAAGACCTGTAAAAAATGTTTGTGTATGACTTGGTACAATTTTAGTCACCCCTCTCCAAGGATACACAACGAAAACACAAAAGGAGAAGGGTTAGTAGGTTGATGATAGAAATAGAAAGCATATTTCACATGGAAAACTTAAAAGACCTTGACTGATCAGAGCAGCAAGAGAACAGCTCAGAAAGGATATGATGATTGTCTATAAACACATCTGAAGAACAAATGGCAGCTAAGGGAAAGAAGTATTTAATCTAAATAATAATGCTGGCACAGAAACAAAGGGACACAAATCAGCCCTGAGTATGAATAGAAATTAGGGATACTAATCATTAAAGCAAACAAGTTCTTGAACTGCCTTCCTTTGGGAGTAGTGGGGACAAAAAAGCCTAATTGCTTTTAATGTATGCAGTAAGTTTATGAAAGGTATGATGTAACATAGCTGCAAGTGATTGCAGGGGTTGAATTTGATGATCTAGAAAGACCTTTCCAGCCTCTTGTTTCTATGTTGTTATAAAAAAATCATGACTTTTTTTTATCTATTTTCACCAAGTCAGGATACAAAATGTTCAGTTTCATTTGCAGGTTAGAGAACAGTGTCAACTTTCTATTAAGACACTGAAGCACTGGAGCAAACTAGCTAAGAAAGTTTTCAACAACCACTTGAGCAAATATTTGACATGGCTTTTCTAGGTGTACTTGGACAGGCTTACAGAAGTGGGTTGGTCTTTTGAGGTCCTTTCCAACCCTAAATTTCTATGAGAAAGTATAGGCTTGTATCTTTCTGGACTCTGGCTTAGCAAAACGGCAAAAACCCCAAGTTATTTCTGAGAAAGCTGTTGAGTAATTTACACTCTGTAACTTTTGGAGGTATTTGCAGTGGTACATTATTTATTATTTTTCCAGTGTTCAAAGTGTTCTAGGAAATTCATAAAGCAAACCTAATTCCCAGCAGGAGATGGGAAGCTTTTGGCTTTCATACCTGGGGAGTCTGGTATACACAAACCAAAATACCATTCTTGTATTTAGCCGTCTCTAACAGAAAAAATGCACTTTGGTTTGACTCCATCATAAAATGCTTTTCTTCTCTGAACTTTCCCCCAGAGTGGCAATAGGATTCTGTGTTCCATCATTCTGGACCACTACCAGGGACCCGCAATAATAAACTACGATGACGAGAATGGCAAAACATGTATGCACATTGCTGCTGCTGCAGGCTACAGTGATATTATCAGTGAGCTGGCTAAGGTCCCGGAGTGCAACCTGCAGGCCCTCGATGTGGATGACAGGTAACCATGGAAACTCTGAAACTGAAATTGCTGCTTCCTTTCCATTAACCTGAGAGTAGATCTGTTTATTCTATAATCGTGTTTCCTGTTTCACAGGCCATGGCCTAGTTAATGAACTGCACTTACAGAGAACTGTGCTTGCTCAGAAACAATGCAAAGCAGTCCAGCTCACATGTGTGATATCTAGTATAATAACTGACTAGTAGGAATGTTACTTAACTTTGTGTTTCTGGTAGGAAATGATAAGATTATTTGTGAAAGAACTTTGTCACCACTTGACTTAACTTCTTCCAATCAAAAGTGAACATTCTTTTCAAAACAATAGAACAGGATCCAACAACTTGAAGCTGGGATCCTGCTGCTTTGTATTTAAGAAATGGCAATGTTCCCTTGTTGCATTTAAGATGTTAACACAGTATTCCTACAGGACCAGGGGACTTTCACCTTCCGTTCTGACAAGGCATTTGATTCCTTCCAGGATGAAATCCCTATATAATAAGTGCAGAATAGTCATCTTTCTTCTTTTTCAGCCGCACCTACCTTCCTTGGAACTTCACTCATAAATTTATTTAATGCAAACAGGACCAACTGACTCTTTGCATTGATTATCCCGCTCAGTGGAGCAAAAGCCAAGGTCTTCTTGGCTTAGGCCTTCAGGTACTTAAAATAATAGCATTCTTCATGGAAGAGTGCAATAAAATGGAACAGAAATAAAACCGACAGGGTTCTGGAGAAGTTTCTAAACATCAGGAAAATGTAGTTGGGAAGGCTGTGTTTCTATGGAAAGGATGAAGGGAGGAGTTTAACTACACTTAAGAGCTCAGTAAGACATGACCTTCTATGACACATTCTCAGGTATTTCCATAGAAGGTATTGTACTCGAAGAGGGGAAAAGGTAAGCTGTTCACTGTAAATACACATTAGATCTCCATTCTGTTGTTTCTCAATGCACCAATCTGAAAGCACTGTGACTGGAAAGAAATAGGCAGAGAAAAACAAATTTTATTTTTTATTCTTCCACAGTTTTCTTATAGTGTTTTCTGTGCTTTCAGATTTTTCACAGGAACATAATATTACAATTTGGAAACTGGACAAAAGTTTCCAAAGACAATACACAAATCTTCTGCAAAGTAGAAAATCAGTTTGATTCTCCTGCATAGATTCAAGACAGTTACATATGCTTCAGTCTGTGCCCAGAACACAGAAACTGGAAAAGGGGCAATTACTGCCTGGTAGATCTGTCCAGTCCTTCTCATTCATCTGGGGGAGGCTTCTTTTCCTATTACCTTCAGGGAGAGCTCTGAGCCAACCATTGCTAATTGTGCTTGGTGCAAAGATGAGAAGAGCTTGTCCCTATTTCTTCTTTTCCTTTTTCTCCTTTTTTTTCTCCCTTCTCCTTTTTTCTCCCTTGTCCCTTTTTCTCCCCCTCTACTCCAGCCTGGTAAGACCCCACCTGGAGTACTGCGTCCAGCTCTGGGGCCTTCAACATAAGAAGGGCACAGACCTGTTGGAGTAAGTCCAGAGGAGGGCTGGAGCACCTCTCCTGTGACGATAGGCTGAGAGAGTTGGGGTTGTTCAGTCTGAAGAAGAGAAAGCTCCAGGGAGACCTTATAGCCCCTTCCAGTACCTAAAGGGGGACTACAGAAAAGATGGGGGGCCTCTTTATCAGGGAGTGTAGTGATAGGATGAGGTGTAATAGTTTTAAACTGAAAGAGGGTAGAATTAGATTAGATATTAGAAAGAAATTCTTTACTGTGAGGGTGGTGAGACACTGGAACAGGTTGCCCGGGGAAGCTGTAGATGCCCCATCCCCAGAAGTTTTCAAGGACAGGTTGGATGGGGCTTTTAGCAACCTGGTCTAGTGGAAGGAGCTAGATGATCTTTAAGATCCCTTCCATTCAATGATTCTATGCAGTGGACACTACAAAGATTTTTTCAAATTCTGATCTGAAAACTTCAGGCACTTCTCCCACTCTGCCACTCCAGCAGTGGAAGAGATGCTATTATATAGCATGTTTATGCATTCTGCAGCCCCATATCTACTTTATCTACCACTAAATAGATGCACACATATAGAAGCCAGTCTATGGTCTTATTACCACCACTGCCAGCTACATCAGTGTGGGATAAGTTGCTGGAAAATTCCTTAAAATGGATGTCATGAATCTGGACAAGTAGCATATGTCATTAATAGTTTCAGCAGTAAATTTATTAATCTATTTCATTGATACTCCCCCTTTTTTGTAGGACACCTTTGCACTGGGCTGCAGCTGCAGGGAAAGCTGACTGTGTGCAGACACTGCTAGAGCTGGGGATAGACAGCAGCCCTCGAGACATCAATGAAAACACTCCTCTGACATATGCAATGTACTGTGGGCACACAGCGTGCATCAAGCTGCTGTCTCAGGAGAGCAGGTAAAACAAATTTCACATCTTGCTCACACGTTGCCACTGACTAGAAAACAAATGTATTGCTTTTTGTATGCTACTGAGCCTGGGTGATGTCTCCTCAATTCATATGCAATACTCAGTTCAAGTTTTCCACCAAAATAGCAACATTAGAATTAGTCATCTACTGAAGACTCATCACTGTGGTTACAGTGCTAGTCTGCCGATCAGGAGAGGGTTCTGAACCAAGAAGATGTGAGTATAGCTCTTGCTCACTTACCTTCATGCAGAAAATTTATCTTACAGAATAATTTCAGCCCTCAGATATACAGCTTCCGCTTTTTTGAAATCTCTAAGCACTAGCTGTGTGTTCATGTAATCACATAGAGGGACAGACTGGACACAAAAGCAGCTTTGCCAGACAAATAACATAAACTTCAAGTTTTCATCCTCAGGGTAAGGGTCTGGGAGTGTTTTCCTGGCCTTCTTTAGTTCTCTACCTTGATTGTCTCTTCTTACTATGAGGGGGTTTTTTTTGTTAAAAAGTATAATTCTTTCGCCATTGCTCATGATCTTCCTCTCTCATTCTATTTCCATGTTTCAGCAGCTGTCATTTAATTAATTTCAATTCTTCAGCTTTGGTAAATGAGCATGCACTTACAAAGACATTTATCATCACATTTCTTTGTGCTTTCCCCTCCTTTCCAGTCAGCAGTTAGTGTTATTTCCTGTGTTACAAACTGTGAGACATGGGTAACATGATCTCTCCTCCTTCTCCTGCACTCTGTCAGAGTAGGTCTGAAATGTCAATTAGGTGAAATCTATTCTAAAAACCGCTGCAGCAACACCACTGTAGGCAAATATCTTGATCTTCTGAAACTGTGCAGGCCTCTGTAGAACAGGCAAGGCAAGGCAAGGCGAAAGGGAAAGGGGGAAATGGAAGCGGAAAAGGAAAAGGGGAGGTGGGGGGGCGGGAGAGGGAGAGGGAGAGGGAGAGGGAAAGGGAAAGGGAAAGGGAAAGGGAAAGGGAAAGGGAAAGGGAAAGGGAAAGGGAAAGGGAAAGGGAAAGGGAAGGAATGATGAACTAGTGCTTTTGTTACCATGTTAGCAATGATTGTGCTGTTGGAAATACCGTTTTCCAGATATGACATAAGACAAAGACCACTTGGTTTTCAAGATCCCAGCATGTTCCTCTTGTTATTATTGGATCTTGCTTCAGCATTAACAACAATGACTCTGCAGCTGGTAGACGCTGAAGCCAGAAAAGTTTGGTTTTTTCGCCTGATAGCTGCACTGAGCCTACATTGAGATGAGTGTAAGGCAATGAACCCCATAAGAAAGAGTGAAGTAACATTGCATCATTTTCACTCTTTTTTAGTTACAAATTTGGAGTCATAATTTTCTGCCTCCTTGAAGCACCCCTGCAAATGTATCTGAATAGTGTATACCTCATTTCATGGGCTAACAGAGGCAGTATTTTTTTCATTATTAGGCAATAATGACATCACATTTTGATTTTTACTTCCAGTAGACCTGAGCCAGCTCATCAGTTTCCCTCCCAGAACAATGATCTCCTAAAGAAAGAAGGACGATTCAGCATGCTGAACCACATCTTCTCTTGCAAAAAGAAGAAAGATGATCAGAAAAACAGTCAGAAGGAGAGAAGCAGAGACCGATATCCTAGAGAAGAGACCTCAGAGGTAGATGACATCATCACCACTTTTGATTGCATTATGGACACAAACTGCAAAGACATTCCAAATGAGTGCGTGAACACCGCTGACTTTAAAAGAAGGAGCACAGACACAAAATACCTCATGCCAGAAAAGAAGCAACCAGAGTGTCAGGGACTTTTGCCTGTCAGAACCCAGAGCCTTCCCCCAATCACTGTGGGCAATTCCTTCCTAACTGCTTCCCAGAGCACAACATCAAGCTTCTCCTCCAGCACCAGCACCCACCATTTTGCACACAAGTCTCAAAAAAGTAGGAGTGAACACAACTTGCTGGACCACAGAAGCCCCTGCCAGGCTTTGTTGGATGGTCCCTGGAGCACAGACTCTAACCAGCTAGTTTCCTACAAAATCTGTACTAGGACTCCTTCAGACAAACTGATAAATGGCTTAAACTCTGATAGATCTCACCATGTACTTTTGTGCCCTCCCCGCCTTCCCTCACTTCCCAGTTCTCCATCAGGTAATTTCTTTCTTCTCTATTTCCCAAATCCCATAATCTCTACTGATGTGGCAAGCTGAGTCAGAAAAAATAAGTAAGTCTGACCCGTGACATTTCTCTTTCTGTAATATCTTTTTCAGTTTCTTCTCCCTGTATGTAGTAGCAATCATAGACAGCATATGGACAGGACATCAGCTGACAGCTGAAGCAAGGTGCTTAGGTGTGGGAAATAATAGATTTAAGTAAGCCTGATAAGCAAGCAAAACAGCAGGTAGTTAGGAAGCATGTGAAGTACCTGAGCAAGGTAACTGACTGCAGATGGTGTATGTGCTCTGTGAACTGCACATTAGCACCCACTGCCATGCCTGCTGCCTTGTGTCTGTGTTTAGTTCTGGAACTAGCTGTGCAAGGGAACAGCACTGCACCCAAATCTCTAACTGTGCTGAGAGCTGCTTCTGTATCCAACCAGGTGAGTAAACGTGTGCCATGCTGGACAGCTCTGCACCATGCCACTTTCTCCTGAGAGACATATTCTGACTCCAGGCTGTAGTGTCACCCGTTCCCACTCCTCCCACCCTGAGTGCCACTTCTTTGGTCTAATGTGCTGTTCTTATGGTCTCTTCAAAGCTGAATTCAGGTTGCTAAACTTACAGAGACAGAGTAAATGCTTTTATGTTGTGGTTTAGAAACTGTAATGCAACAGTAATAAAGCAGAGCATCAGAATTCTGAAGTAAACTCGAAACCAGGGTTTGGCAGGATTTGGGATCTAGTACTTTGTTTGACTCATATCCATGTTTAAATGAATCTAGCTGGCTGGCCTGTGTGCTGGAGTTTACTTCAACATATCAGTGTCTCCAACTTCATCTCCTTTGGGATTATGCCTATGCCAAAATTAAACACATCTAGCATGCCTTCCAACCACTGTAATATCCAACTGAAAATGAAGCAAGAAAAAGCAATCCCCAAACTTACCAGTATACCATTACAAGGAGTAAACATTACACAATAAGTTAACCTACCCTCATCCCCACAGACACGAGCTATTATCCCCCAGTAGAAAGAGGAGTGAACAGAAACCCTGTCTGAGAAGACCCCTCAGTTAGGTCAGGTCACCATCTGAGCTTTCATGATAATGCAAACTGTACTGACTCCTAAGCAAAGGGATCTATAAAATAGAAAATCTTTGTTCACGTCTCTAATAATGAAAGTAGAGACGGCAATTTCAGAATGACAGATTATTCTATGTTGTGCAAATAAAGCCTGGAATGAGTTTTTCAGGGTAAAAAGGAGCTATTTAAAAAGTTCCACTTCCTGAACATCAGGACACGTTCCTGAAAGCTTGATAGACTTGTTCTATAGGTGTCACTACTTTTTCACTGTGCACTCTTCAGCTATTCATTCAACCATACAAACCCCAAACTCCACATGGCTAGCAAGGGTTGCTCCAGCATGACTCTCTCTACACTGAACTCTGCAAGGTTCAGCTCATTTGTGCAAGACAAGAAAACCTGCAGGGCTTCTTTGCAACCTTAATATAATAGGGTACAGTGAGACTGAGATATTTGAGATCATTCATGTTGACAGTAGGAGCATGAGTGAACTCAAACTGATAAACTAAACCTGAGGACAACTATGGGGAAACATTTCGTGGTGGAATTAGCCAGATTATGAATACATTCGATGATGAAGTAATTACCATGTTATTTAAAATGTGATTATAGATTTTTCTTAAGACTGTAGAATACTGTATAGTTAAATCCTTGTTTGCTGTGAACAAAAGGACAAGTGGTTTTCTATGAACATCCTATGACAGAAAGCTGCAACCAGCTGAATCAGGACGGTCCCTGTGCATCCACTCACTGCTCCATGATCTGCACAGGGACTCAGTACAGGACTAGCAGTCTACACGGATAAATGAGGGCAAAATCGTATCAGTTATAGGATATCCTGTAATTGTTACAATGGGAGCTGTCTTTGCATGTCCAAAGGAAGAGTAAGGCATTTTAAGACAGATTATCTCCCTCCGATAAAAAAAGCCTAAGTCTGCTTTAAGCCCAGTTCTCTGTGTACCAGCTCCCTTTAACAAAACTTTCCAACCATAAAAAGAGTCCTGTAACTGGCAGAAAGGCCTTCCACTGAAGCATGTGGATTAAAAGCTTGTAAGGAGGCAGAGAGTGCCTAACAGGAATACATTGCACAACCCAGATAATGTCTAACATTTTTTCACGATAAAAAGATCTGCTTATCCTTCTTCACGCCTGTGTGTGGTTTAAATCTGTCTGCCCCTGTAATTAAAGCCACCTGAACTTGAACCTGAAATGCAGCATAGAACTGCATTTACTGTACAAGCTCCAGGGCTTACAGGTCTCCAGTGCACTGTGCCTGCAGGACTTAGAGGGATCAGAAGCAAAGTAAGCCCAGCACCAGCACAGCCAGCAGCACTGTGCAGGCAGCGCTCTCTGAAGAAAGGTATTTTCTTTTTGGTTTTGTGTTTGGTTTGGGTTGTTTTTTTTTGCAGGAGGCCTAGCTGAGGGGAAAAAAACAACATCTGCTCTTTGAAGAACACTGAAGTGTTAATACTCTATTTCTCAAGTCGTGACTGGGGCAGCTACTTGTAATTTCCTAACTACTGAATATTCAAGGCAGGATTATGGGTATCAATAATCTAGGGGAGCTCAATTTGAAAACTATTTTCTCAGCTGACACACAGTGTTGATTGTCTTGCATGAGCAGGCCTTTATTAAAGTCAGAGCTAATTTTTGTGCTTACTGCTACTAAGGCAGCTGGCACATAAATGGGGATTTTTGGAGGTTTTTTGTTCTGTTTTCTGTGCTCCTGGAAATGAAAGATGAGTCAATTTGCTAGCTGAGCCTTAGCACTTACACAAAGGGGAGACGTTGCTGTGAATAGCAATGAGACTCACCTTACTATCGTGCCACTGGTTTCCCTCAGAATAACTACTTTGTCTTCCCCTCCACTGGGGAGAGCAAAGATAGACTGTACCAAAAACTATTGTCAATATTGCAAGAGCAGTTGCCAGACACAGTGCTGAGTTCACATCCACAGCTGAAGCATTTTGTATTTATGAGCTTTGCAATCATCTCTTTTTGCAAAATGTACTACCATCTATTTTCCACAGGGAAAACGGTTTAAGTAGACAAATTCCAACTGATATGAGTAAAAGGAAGCCTGTCTCAACTGTAAGGCAGCTCTTAGAACCCTCTAAACAGCTGGAGCCACCTTCTCTCACCCACTCATCTTTTAGATTACTAACCTTCCAGGTGTAAGGCGATACTTTATTACAGGTTTTATTACAGCAGCCCAATACATTCTATTTGGTGGAACAGGTAATGTAAAAAATAGGCTATTATTAAGCTTATATTGGCATAAGCAGTGGGGTATAGTCCACTTCTACAGTCCACTTCCAAGAAGCACTTCTTGGCCAGGAAAGGGTAGAGCAAAGCTGATTAGTGTGGCTGTTTCCTTCTGAAGCTGAAGGACTGATTTACAGTGGGACATTCATCATAACATTTAGAACTTTTCCACAAAACACATCACAATGTGGTTCACCTACCTAAATGCAAAGGAAAATCAAAGAACAACCCATAAAAAATGTGAGTAAACAAAATTAAATGCAGGACAGTCCTGCATTTTATAAAAGCAAAATTGCCTCCTTTCTACTACATTCAAAAATAAATGCCACAATAAACATGCTCTTGGTGATGATGAAGATGATGTCTTAAAGAAAAACTTTTTTTTCTGGTGTTATGTGGAGCAGATAGAAAGAAAGAGCAGAAGAATATTTCCACTTGATGCCAGAACTTTTACACAACAAGGATTCTTTTCCAAGTATCCAAGCATTCATATCAGCCTTGCAAACATGATTATGTTTTGCACTGTTGTTTTGCTGCCAGATATCCCTATTTATGAAATAAACATAGCTCTTGATAGAAAAAAAACAACCTCCCATCATCAAAGCTATAATGGTACATACATAATAGTCCATTAGTTCTCAGCATAAGCATCACTGAAGCCAATGTAACTCAAATTGCACTAATGGGAGCAGCAGGCTTGACTCTGCTATTTTGGAATGGATATTTATTTCTTTGTGCGCAGTGGATGCCATGTCTATAGAAGAAATTTTACCAACTTTTAAACCCACTTTTTGGTCCCTCTGGAGAATTGTTAAAGACTAAATAAAGAGTAAAACATGGGGAAAAAGAAAGCTGTTTCTATTAGACACAGCTCATCCACAAGGGATTGTTTGTGCTTTAGCCCATTATGCATCAGCTTTGCCCACGGGATCCAGTAGGTTGAGTCAATCTCTATCAACTGCCACAGTCTTGGACCAGAATCTTGCTCCATGCTGAGCTGAAGGCTGCACTATAACATTTTTTTTATTTTTTTTTTTTCTGACAAACACCACTTCAGCTCCTTTCACACAGAATCCATTTAGTCAGTCACACAGTTACAGAAGTCTTGACGACTACTTCAGTGCACCTCTAGGAAACTGTTCTACACTATTTTCCTACAGCTTTATCTCGCACAGCCCAGCAACACACAGGTATTTTCAAGTACCAACTACAAAGCCACAAAGGCAATTTATCTCATTCCATTTCTTCCTATTGCTTAAGATGTCCTGTTACATCCAGCCTGTGTCTCCCCTGGTCTCTGCGTGCCGACAGAGCATATGCTTGCTCTGCAATGAGCTATGTTGCAATGCCACGCTGAACAAGCAGCTGTTTGGCAAGACAACTCAAGACTCCTTACAAGGTCCATCTCAGATCTGGGGATAATAAAAAATAAAAATTTGAGGGACTCAAACATCACAGAATAAGATCAACTCAGGAAAAGGATCTGGGAAAAATGTTGGTTTGGTGCTTGAGTTTCTACTTTTTTAACAATATTTGATGCGTCTTTTATGTAGTGAAATGTATTACCTCATCTAAAACATTGTCTTTTTTAATAGTACTGGACCAAAGTTATCTTTAATCTTAGCCAGTGAAACGTCACAGTTAGCCAATTAACTTTTCATTTTCCAGTATCTATTCTTCTTGATAAAAATGAAATTGCCATAAAAATAGTTTAATAAAAATCAGTATCAGTTTATACCAGTTCTGCTATGTTTCCACCTGCAGCAAAACCCTCTCAAAGCTTACCTTTACTGCTGATAGACTTCCAATAATCTTATTTTCCAACCAGCAGTTGAACTCCATTTGTGTTGTAGTACTTAGAAAGGCTGAAATCATATTAGAAAAGTTTGCAAACTTAAACTTCGATTCTGAAATCAAATCCATCTAGTTGAATATTTCTACAACTTTAGTGTCCAAATATTCTTACAGGGACCTAGCTACTTGACTATGCCTGTTTTAAGACCAATTACTATACTATACGATAGGAAGTGATAAGGGTACACATGAAGGTTATATTAAATCAGTCACTTTTTTTAATGAACGTAAAGAGAACAAAGCAACAGTCTTTTTCAGTCAGTGCTTTCTTGTTATTACACGTTTCTGAGAATTACTAAGTAAGTTTTCTTTTTTTCTAGAAGCCAGAGATCTACAGTGCACCATATTCTTTACAATTATTTTCATATAGTAACATATTTTTCTTTCACAGGTAAAAGTTTTCAACAGATGTCCATAGACCAACCCAAAATAAAAGATCTTACTCCAGTACGGAACAGCCTAGCTCCAATACCCAACCACTGTGCTCACAAAAGTAAGTACAGGCAAGTCTCAGTTACAGTATCATACCATGTGCCTACGTCATTGGCATCTGAGGGTTTGAGAGAGGTTTCATGTTCCTTTTTCACAGCATTGTAAAATGGCTGAGGTTGGAAAGCACCTTTGGAGATTTTCTAGTCCAACCCCTCTGCCCATAAAGAGGTCACCTACAGCAGGTTGCTGAGGATCACATCCACTTAGGTTTTAAATAACTCTAAGGATGGGGACTACTACAACCTGTTCTAATGTTTGACCACCCTCAGCGTAAAAAAGCTTCTTCTTACTTATTTGTGCCCAATGACTCTTTTCTATTCACAGGACACCATTGAGAAGATTCTGGGTCCCTCTTCGTTACTCCCCCCAATCAGGCATTTGTACATATTGACAAGATCCCCTGAGCCACCTTCTCTTCTCAAAGCTGAATCATCCCAGCTCTTTCAGCCTCCCTGCTGAGGCTGGACATTCCAATCCCTTAATCATCTCCATTGCCCTTTGTTGGACTTGCCCCGTATGTCCACGTCTCTCTTGTACCGGGGGCCCCAGAACTGGAAAAAGCACTCCAGATGTGTCTCACCAGTGCTGAGCAGAGCGGAAGGATCATCTTCCACAATCTGCTGGCAACACTTTTCCTAATGCACCCCAGATGCTGTTGGCTGTCTTTGCCACAAGGGTACACTGCTGGCTCATGTTCAGCATGTTGTCTATCAGGGCCCCTAGGTTCCTTTATGACAAGCTCCTTTTCAGCTTTTTGATCTTCAGCATGTATTGGAGCAGGGAGTTATTCCTCCCCACTTGGAGGACTTCCCTTTGTAAGAGTTTTGTCCATCCATTTCTCCAGCCTGTCAAGGTCTCTCTGAATGGCAGCACACTCATCTGCTGTATGAGCCACTCCTCCCAGTTTCATATCATTTGCAAACTTGGAGAAGGTGCACTCTGCCCCATCATCCAAGTCACTAATGAAAACATCAAGCAGTATTAGCCCCAGTATCAGCTCCTGGGGTATTCCACTAGTGACTGGCTCATCTCCAGCTGGACTTTATGTTGCTGATCACAAGCCTTTTCTCCAATGAGTTGCATTGCGTTGGCCTAGTAGAAGTGATGTACATCAACATAGAGGAGAGTTGGTTCTACATTTATTTTCCAGAGCAGAGGTGACTGGAATTCTCACAGACACAGGATTTTTCACTCTCAGTTTCACTGTGGATTGCATATGCTTGTATGACTCTGGTAGGTTTTCACAGGGGTCAGGACATGATGTAACACGGTGACTTACAGGATGCAAAGAGATGGATGACAACACCCTAATGACTGCATAGCAGACAAAGGTTGGATATGTGAGATAAAAGCCAGGATAAGGAATGACCCTTCTGCAGAGAGCATGAAAAATATCATTACACTGATTTTTGTGTCCTTTTGCTAGCAAAAATTAGAGGGAAGAGGATTAGAACAAGATAATCAGGTTTCCAAAAACTTTGCCATATTCTGAATGTTCCATAGGTGAAAAGATGTTCTATCTCTCTCTGTCTTAAGCATAGCAGATAGACTAGCTTTTATGAGATGGGAATCATTCATTTCTCTCATTCTATCAGCAGCTGGTTTGGGTAGCTCCTGTAACACAGGAGCTAAAACAAAGGGATTGAGAGAGCAGCAGCGTTTTTTTCCTCTGCACTTTCAGCCAGCTCCTCATTCCCAAGGCAGTAAGAAGCAAGAAGAGCAGGGAAAGCATCACCCCACTCCCACAGCCCAGCAGAGTGTCAAGACTTGATGAGTGTCCCAGGCTGGATCCAGCCAGTGACTGGGATGTTCTTCACATACAAACACTAGCCCTACTCCCAGCAGTGTCCTGCCTTCACATTCTTGTGCTCCACTAAGCGCAAATCCCCCAGTGTATTTTGGATGAGGATTTGCAGTTTACTATTTGTCATCCTGCAGATCAGCCAGGTCCTAAAGTATTCACATTTCAGAGCTAAATTTAATATTCATTGCCTCTTATGATCTGAGTTTCATCAGCAATTCTGCAGCTATAACAATATTACTAAAAACGAAACAGTAGAGGTAACTTTATAGGGAACATCAGATTCGGTAGGGGAAATACAGAATCCTGCACTGCTGCCACACAGTAAACAAGAGAGGAAGAAGAAAAGTAGAGATATGTGGAATACTGAGGTGGTATTCTCTGTCTGCACAGAGGAAAGAAAATAATCTAATTGCTTTCAAAACCCCAGCTTCAAGTCTTCTATTTTTAAGCTTTCTACTAATGTTGTCTGTGTCTTCTAGTTAAAACATAGTTGTAAGCAAAATCCTAAAAAAAATTATTTCATAATCACTGGTGTTCTTGCAGTAATTCATACAAACAGTTAGGATTTCAGTTCTAGTCTCATGCCAAAACCTGTGTTTAATAAATAAGATACAGTTGTCACAGTTAATAATCATGGCTTAATTAACTAACACAGCACATTTATCCAGGTGACATTACTGCTTGAACATCAGTTCAAGCCAATAACAGAGAAGCAAAGTTATTTGCAAAACAGATTACATTTCTTCGTTAACACAAATGACACATTTGATCCTGGAGCTTTCCAAATAACTGTTTCAGAGCCAAGATTTCACTCATCCTCCATCCAGCCCTAAAAATATTACTGGTCTGGACACAGCCTTTATCCAGGCAAATGGCTCCAGCAATGAATTTTGAAGATAAACATTTTTGTTTCTCTAATATTTTCGTTACACAAGATGTGTGTTAAAATCATCCAACAAAGCCAGTGGGGGAAAAAAAGCAACCAGGGAGCTAGAAAAATAAAATAAGCATAAATTAGAAAGAGAACTGAAACTACTCAAAGATTAACAGAAAGAAGAAACATCTCTCCAAAAAAGGAAGGGGAATGGAAAAAAAAGGAAGAGATGTTTTAATCTCTAAGCAAAAACATCTAAAAATATAAGTTAGAAAGAGGATAATAGGAATGAGGCAGTAGCCTAGGAAAAGAGTCCTTGAGTGACTTTAAACCATAGTTTATAAACTCCCAGCATCCAGATGTTTCTAGGGCCAAAGAGGTCACCCACATGGCTTCTTGAGTAGCCTCAGCACAGCCTGGCATCTCTCTTACTCTACATCCTCCTGCTCCACCCCCAGCACACCCTTTCTATCTCATCAGGCGGCTCTCCCAAGGACATCTGGAAAACAGGCTTACAACCATCACACACTGCTCACACAATGCCAGAATAATTTTTGAAACAAATATGGGACTTCTAGAGAACTCTCTGCTGCTCTCACTTCTTCGTGTGGCTTAGAAGGTTTGAAACCATAGTAAGGTTATAACTTGTTGAACAAAAAAAAAAAAAAAACCAAACTATTTCTGCAGGTCATTTAACAATATTTTCTGGGGATCAGTGGTTGGTTTTGCTGCTATTAATCATGATTTGAAGTTTTTCTTTCCCAAGTTAATAGCAAAGGATTCCACAAAGCACCATCCTCTCTGCAGAGGGCTGCCATGGTCCATTGCTTGCAAAAGGAAGAGTCTAAAAGCCACCCCTTCTACTGGAGTACATACTCCTTAGGCAATGCCTCCCTGACAGCCTTATTCCTGTCTCTGCAGTTTGTAATAGCAGCCACTCAAGAGTCTCTACTGAGCAGAAAAGGCTCCCTGAATTAGTAGCTCTTATGGTATCACTAGGTCTTCTGTAGCCGGCTCTGCCCTCTGAACATAAATAATTACTGGTGCTTTCACTGTATATAGTTTCTGGATGTATGGCAACCTTAAGGGTTCTGTTCTTCGCAGACCCCAGTGCTGTGTCCAGGCTCATGTGTTTCAATGCATATTCTAATAGCAGTCAGTGTATGTATTATTTCAAAGCCATCCATGTACCAGTCCTGAAATCCTTATCAAATTTCCTAAACTGAGTACAGTATGTAGGACTAGGTGGAAAGCACTGATGTTTGGATGCTGTTTTTTACTTTGAATGAGCATGGCTTTGTGATGGCTACACTGTCATGAGGGTGAAGTTAAACTATGCTGGTTTTGCCCTATTCAAACCCATCATTAAGGGCTTACTTAGTACACAAAGTGTTCTGGAGATATTTTCACAGGTGTAAACTTTGAATGCATGAACATATATATGCCTATGCTCCAAAGCAGGAAACAGCTAAGCCTTTCAATATGCATTTGGTTTACACACCAAAATTTCAGTGAACTCAAAGCATTCTATCATGTGCCAGGAAACAAATGCACTCATTTATTGTATTTAGCCCTGCCTGATTCACATAAATTCAATACAAATGAAAGCCAAGTACTAATGGTTTGCGTTTGGTGGGTTTTTTTCATGGAAAGGAGAACTAAGCGATTTCTTGAAGTTCTGAACATGAATGAATCTTGAATATGACCTGTGAATTACACTACATTGCCAAAGGCCAGACAGGTCTAGTAAACACTGCCTGCTCAGACCATCACAACTTGAATTGTACCGATATTAGCAATCCTCTCTATAAATATTCTGCTTTGCCCCAAATAGAAACCTGCTGAATCTTAGAGAATTACTGCTCCTGGTAAATAAATAATGAACGATGAGACGAGTATATGGCATATGGTACAGGGGAATATGGCAAGGAGAACTTCAGCCTCCTTTGCACAATGTATATAGTAAAAAAATAGACAGATGTAAAGCTCTTTTGGTGCCCACTGCAGACATTGGAGAGGTAACATTTGCACTGAACAGGGCAAATTTCTGACTTATTAATTATATACTATGTAAATCTGCAGACACAGAAGGGCTTGCATGACAGGACCGGTGTGCTTCTGCTTTGTCGAGGCACGGAAGCTGCAGGATTTCTGCTTGAACTTCTTCATTATATTTCTGACTCAGGCACAGTCTGTGTCCCCAGTTACCTGCATGACTGTTACTCCCCTAGCTAGTTTTTCCCCATCTTACATTTGGACTTTTGTTGGTTTGGGATTTCTTTGTTTGTTTTCCATAAGTGTAGTGGTTTGTATTTGCCTTGGCTGAGTTTCATTATCTGAATTTCTTACTGCTTCTCCAATTTATCAATGTCATTTTGCATTGTAAACCTGCTCTCTGGGAAATCACACCTTGAGTGCCTTTTTTTTCATCAGGTGTGTGTCCACGTTATAGTAATGGATCTACCTTATTTTTTGAGAAAGTTAATAATCCTTCCTCATTAAAACTACATAATTTCTCACTTCTTCTGCATCCAAATCTCCAGTGCCCCAGTTATTCTTTCTGATGTTTCTTGATGAGCAGTGAGAAGGCAGACTTCATAGGTTCAAAGATTCGCTTCTGAAAAATACCAGCTGTGGGCAGGATTTTAGGTATTTAGGGTCTTTCTGGTTAGGTTAACTGACTCGAAATTCCGTAAGTCCTCTTTTCATGTCTTTTTATTCTACAGCCCTCAAGAAATTCCATTCACTATTCTACCCATGAGTTCCTCGAGTGTGCTGAATGTTTAGTATGGTTGGGGGATTTTTTTTAAGAGCAAAATTGACTTGTAAGGTCCAGCTTATCACAGGTACATTGATTGCAGTAGTTACTCAGTTCATACTACTTGATTTTCTGGTCTGTTATTTCTAACAAAAATTAGTTCATTTATCAGTTTATCCTCTATTAAAACAGTCCAAATCTACATTAGCTTCAGGTGTTCCTGTGGAATTACACAAGATTTTCATTGGGTTAAGAGAGAATACTCTTCTCCGTTCCTCATTTCTGTAGAATTTCCCTGAACCTGCACCAGGAAAAATTGCAACACGGACACTCAGGTTTTCGTTGGAGTTGACCAGGATATGGAATGATAACAGGCTGAGATGGTCACCTTTTGAGTAGAGCGCTTTATAGCAGGATACTTCCTGCATGTAAAGAACAGGACACAAGCCTGATACCAATCTGAGGACAAGTGGTTGGCTCAGAGAATGGGTTTTAATACCTGAACCATTACCAAGTGTTTGTGGTTAGTTTCAAAGGATGAACCCAGCAAAATAGAAAGAGAATCCAAATAACCTTCTGGAGGCTACCATGACTAGTAAGATGAAACGCAAGCTAAAACATCTCAGAGGAAAATATTAATAGCCTCTCATATATTCATCACAACAGATGCAGATGGAAGGAAATCACAGATGGAATGAGAATGCAACCAAGGAAAAATTAATGTGAAAAACTGCAAGGAAAATTCTGTAGCCAAAACAGAGATGGTGCTAACTCCAGTAGGGAACTTTTCAAATAGTTAAACTGGAAAAAAATAAGCTGTTTGTATACAAAGAGCTTGTGAATAAAATGGAGACTTAAATTAAAAGAAGCTAGTGCAATTCACAATAAATTCCAAGGCAGAGAAAAATAGGTCTACAATTAAGGTTTGGAATTTTCCTTTTAAAAAATTAGGAAATTAGTGAGTTGCCTGAGTGAAGGAGCCTGAGGATTTCAATTTAGAGAAGATACAGAACTACATCAACTTTAAAGCACAAACAATGTTACACTGCTGAGTGGGAGATGGAGATTAAGGATGATAAAAATCCACAGTTTCTTACAAGACACATGAGACATACAACAGCTGTGGCTCTTCTGTTTCAGTGTGGGTCTTAGTGTGCTACAGGGTAGTGGGCTACTTTTGTGGCCTGTGACTTGCAGAGCACATGTGGACCTATCTTTATGATTGACTGTGTCTAGAGCAACCTGGACACAGTGTCCCAGGTTCTTCCATTTCATCTTCCTGAGATTTTAATCAGAATTTACCCTAGGTAATACAGCATCCTCCCACAAAGGTTTTGTTAAAAATAATATAGTCCCATGGAACATTTCTGTTTCAGTCAGCCTGTGGTTTTTGACGAAAAAATGTCTTGTGGAAATCTCTTCAAACAGACCAAGTCTCCTTCAGACAAATATAGATTCTCTGCTTATCAACAGTAAACCTTTGAACTTACCAAGTCCTACTGATCACCAAACACAATGTATATTGCTTAACACTGGAGATGTTTTCTTCAGTTGAAGCCCACCCCTGCCAGGTTTTAGCAATTTTTTACTCATATTTTGATCATGTTTTTCAAATGCAGGTTTGTGTACACACAACACAAAACAAACAACAGTTCAAAGAAAGTAACAAACTCGTTGTAAAAATGTCATGCTTTTCACTTTCTGTGCACTCTTTCTCTTTTTCTTTTTCCTCTAGTTCAGCTACCATCTCAGGGTGCTAAGAAGTTTAAGTCCCTGCCTTTAAATTCCCTAAGGACTGGTGCAGTTATTCTCCCACCAGCCCCAACCTCCAGATCCCAGAAAAGGGGGCATTCCCAGAGTCATTTGCTCAATTCTGTCTTGCCTGGTCTATCAGGAGAGCCTCTGAAACCAAGCCGTGTCCTACCTGCTATCCCAAGCCAGAAGAAATCTAACCCTGCAGAAGAGCTTGACAAATGTATCACCAAACCAGGCGCTGAAAATTAACTCATTACACTGGCCTCAATCAGCTGAAATATATCTAAGAGCTTGTTACAAGATAACTGTACAGTAAAATCTCATTAATTTGCACTAACGATGCTCTTGTGAACTGGAGTGTAAATGAACAAAAAACAAGAAAGGGTAGCACATCACAAAAGCAGCACTGTGTATTTATACAGGCATTTTCATTATACTTTTCATTTATGATGAAATTACTAAATCGATATCTAATGTGCTGTAAATCTATTTTGTGAATGGAAACCTCATAACATGCAATCTTATTGCAGCAATGTGCTGTTAAGCCTTTTACAGAGAACAGGAACAAAGAGTAAGATTTTCTGCATGATTTAAAATTCAGAATTAGGGAAACATAAATTGACAGGGACCCTCTGTAGTTTGTAAATGCAAAGGTGCTGATTCTAAGGCTGTGCACCATCAAAAATATCTTTTTAAGATTAAAATGATAAGCTCAAAATAAAAGGCAGTTTTAGAAAATGAGGGATTTTGGCTCTTTGTTTTTCACATATTTTCTACGTTGTAAGTTTGTGGGGTTTGTGAATTCAACAAGGTAAAAAAGAACAATGAAACACTAATCTCTGTGGGACTGACAGGGATACAGCACACACTGTTCTAAACGGTTCATTGCACTGACAGATTTATGTCTCTTTCATTTACGTCTTCATATTCCTCAGTGTCAAAAATGCAGTTGTGCAGTGTTATTTTCATAAAACAAGGATTGCATGGTCATGAGTTATTAGGCATTATTCTATTGCTTTGATCACCAAACTGAAGACGGAAAGAGACTACTGTTCAGTCAAGAGCCTTGGCGAACACTGTAAGCCTTTGACTAAACATTTCACAAGTCTGCCCTTTCCTAGAAGACCACAAAGACACCAACATCTGCCTGCTTTAGGACCCTTATCTAAATAGTGCTGTTTCTCTGGAGGCTTCCACGCTTCTGATTACAGAGGGGCTGTGGGCATTACTCTGGGCAGGGGGAAGGGGGCATAGTCCCCTTTTGTCACCCCTTTTGTATTACCATTGCTAGTGAATCTGTCCTGCATTCGCTCTACATCAGCAGCTCGTTCAACCAGGACATGGCATTTCTGTTTACCTCTAGATAAATGTTTTATTAGCTGTACAAACATTTCTTTTGCTGTGTCACAGTAAAGACAAACCTGACATGAAAGAGAAGATAATCATGTCCCAGTAGCTGCAGTTTCCAATTTCCTTGCGGTAATGACTGTAAATAGAAGGATGGCTGGTGGCTGTCACAGACAGTCCCAGAAAGAAAAAAAGCAGAGCACAACAACAGCTGCTCTGACGCAACACAGGGAAGAGGGAACTTTTGCACACAAATAAAAGGTGATTTTATTTTTAAATGCCTAATCCAAATGTCGGGGTACAAAGCACAAATTCAACATGTGATGTAAACCTCTAGCTTCTTGCTGAAATCCACACGAGTAAAAAGCTCATGTGCTCGGGCCTGACAGGCAACATAGTCCCTGAGGCTAGATGGAAAAACTACTGCATGGCAGAAGCATGCTCTGTTAAAGGAAAAATCAATTCTGGCATGCTCTGTCTTTGCACCTGACCAGTCCTGCTCAGTCCAGCCTCACTGGAAAGTCCAGAGTCCCTCCTACGGTGTGGCAGACTGGTATTTGCTCCACAGGATCACTGCCTGAGCTGGTCTGCTCTCCAGAGTACTCAAGCTTCTCTGCCCTGAAACTCTACCAGTTGCAGCCCCCAAATTCTCTATTCTGACTCCAGCCCTTTTGGACCTCTCCCTGTGGCCTCATACAAGAGGCAAGTGGTTCATAAGTCATTTTCTAGAAATATTCAGGACTTGACACAGACTGGTACAGAGCAGATGGTTTTGGTGCGGACCACACAGAGGAGAAGGGAAAACCAATTCATACAGCTCTGGCTGGCAGTGAGCAGCCTCTGTGTTAACAGAAAGTCTCAGTGTAGACATCATGAGAATGAGATTTGTTGCCAGAGTGAGAGCCCAAAGTAACCACTCTGGCAGAGATTAGTTATCTCTAGTTTAACACACTGCTTGGGAATGGGTACAGAGTGTGGAACGAAGAGAAGACCAAACGGCACAGCAAGGAAATCACAGTGACATCAAATGTTTGTAACGCCATCACCACTCTAGACTTTTTGATTGGGTAAGAAAACTGAAATTTTTGCTATCATAAAGAGGCAGGTCACATCCTGCAACTCCTTTTTTTTTTCCTTAGTAGAAGGGGATCCTTGTTGCTGTTACTGGCTTGGAGAGAGGGGGTGAATCTCTCTCACCTCTTGTGTTACCCTGCCTGTCCAGGCACCAGGAGAGTCCTGGGCTGCCTAAAGGCAATCATATAAAAGCTGTGGTGGTGCCCATTCATTTGCCAGCTGCCACTCCATGCTGGAGACAAAGGTACAGGAGCAGTCTGTGCTGGCTTCCCACAGAGGCTTGAACAAATTTCAAACGTTTCCAGCATTACAGCAAGAGAGAAAGGGAGAGAGATTCCCCCATGCCTTGCGCTAGGCACTTCCATTCCCAGAAAGGAAGGAATCAGCTTTCTGGTTTTCCTCTTCAGCAGTGTTTTGTTAATGCATGGGGGCAGACAAAGCTGAATAATGAACAATTTTGGATCAACGATAACACTGTCTTTCAAATGAAATTGCTTCAAAAATGTAGAATTTCAGGTGCAGTCACTTGAAGCTAGAAAAAAACACATTACCACTGCCTCCTCTCCATATAATCAGTTTGCGTGGAGACATCTGCTAGCTGATTTTTTCCTATCATTTCCCCCTTTTTTCCTCATCTTTTTCTAGGAAGGAATGTTTTTTTTTTCCCTGGGTGTCCAACCCAGGAAATAGACTGTTTCAGGAAAGAATGCAAATCCAAATGCTGGTTCAAGCATAAGCCTAGAATACAGTACTTACCTGAACAGAGAGAGTCTTAAATGCATAGTAATCTGAACTAAGATCCAGGTCACTTTTCTAATGTGTTTCTTCTGTAGACTATCAATAAAGGAGGAGTTCACAATTTGCCAAATATAGATCTTTTAAAAATTAATGCTCAAAGAAAGCACTGAGAATTATTCTCAGAAATGTTCCCACCAGGAACTATTCTTATCTTTTGGGTTTGATAGCCAAATTCTACAGTAAATAAACAAGTCAAATTAAGTTGAAGTCTTTCACCTTCAGAGGAGAGCAGACTGTTGACTTCAGTGTACTGCACGAAAGAGAACAAATGAACCAATACCTACTTAAGCTACCCTGACCTCTTGCTCAGACCTTTCCTGGAAGATAACAGCAGGAGAGACAATAAAAGGCTAACACAGTTGATTAGCAATTGCCAAGAAATGTCTGATCAGTAGGTCATGACAGAGATTTTTTTTTTTCCACTGTCTAGTGATTAAATATCTCTGGTACATTCTTCTGTGGCGCTAGTTGAGTGTTAAGTCATAAGAGTGTTGCAGTATTCAGGTGCCTGGGGAGTTTGGCTTGGCACAGAGAGCTAAGAAAATATATATACATAGAGGATACATTTTCTGACCAAAACACAATATACTTCCTCACTAGAACATGTTCTACATTCCATGTAACTCTCATGAACAGAATTTGAAAATGCTTTTAAAAATGATGCAGCCTTTATTCCAGTGGACCATTTACTTATATATTAATACTGAATGGAGTGGTCCACTCTTCCAGTGAGCTGTGCAGGAGGTTAGCATTAGTCCATTATTTAAAACAGAGAAAAATGTTCCCGGGTAAAACAAAGGATCATCCAGCATTATGGGGATCTTTCAAAGGCTATTCTATTAATGAGCAGAGTATCTGATGAGCAGGTGAATTTTTTGGTATAAATACCTGAAGAGGTAAACCTAAAATTCAGTCCTAATAAAGCATTTTAAACACCCCTACCACTGAGAAAGGTAGATATCTCTGTCCCTTCACCCCAAATACACTGCATTCTTCTACCATCACCAAAGAGGAGTTTGCACAATATATAAGTTTTTCCACTGCAGAACACCAGAAGCATCCTAGTTACCACTTCATAGCAACTTTTCAAACAATTCTAACCGGGCTATAAGAGCTCATCTGATCATACTGTCATCATGAGTCATCAGAACTGTTACTCTGCATCCCCTTCATAATAATGACCTTGAAGAAGACAGGAGTGTTGAAAGTATTAATTATTTGCCTTTCTATTTTAAAAGTGGAGTCTTTCTCTCATTATTTTTATAGGGTTTTCCTATGTTCCTTAATTTCAGAGAAAGCAAAGATTTTCCTGTGCTGTCCCTATTGGTGGAAAAGCTCAGAATTATGACAGAGGCACTTTAGACCAGAGGTTATGAGGTGTCCAGCATCAAAGCCACCCCTAACCTAGGGCAGTGAGTAGTACTTGACGTGAAGCAGTTGATGCACAGCCAAGAAATAAACTCCAGGACCATCGGGATCCTAAAGTCCAAGTGTCCCCTCCCTGCCAGCCAACACCATCAAGGGCCTGCCTTCTGCAGCTGCTACTGAGCCTAGTAAGGTCTCCAGACACCTACATGGTACAGCCTCCTGCAGTAACTTTCCATTCCCCACCTCACTGTTTGTGGTGCTCTAAGGCACTTGGCATCACGGTGTGAACTTCTGCTGCTCTGCAAACACCAGGAAGAACCTGCAGAGTCAAGGGGCTGTTCATACCTGTCCAAGAGGTGTACTTGACTCTATGCACGTGTGCCTTCCTGCATCTATGCGCATGTTGCTGTGCTCAGCTTGTGGGATCCCATCCTGTGGAAGAAGGATGTGGTGGAGTTCCTTGTATCACAGAGGAGCAGACGGAAACTGTCTGAACACATCAATGCACTAAGAAAAGGCTCAGCCCAGACCTCCCAATATGTCTCTGTCATCACCTACAGATGACAGAGTAGGTCATCTCTGTCATCTGTACAGATGACTGCACAGTCATAGACTTTCCTATCAAGATTACATTGGGAAGATTAGTTTGGTAAGAGGACAAC